CTCTATCAGCTTATCTATCTTGTTATTCCCAAGAGAATAACACTTGGCAGCCCAAGCGCCATGCGCTCGCCTGATGGGCGCTCAACAGCTGTGAGTATTCGCTGGTAAGAAAGGCATAATCAGGGTACTTGTGCGAACATTACCGCCCCCATGGTGAGACATTTGAAAAAACGAATTAGTTTAGCATTTGTATGAGCACTATCGTCTCCCGTATTGAATTCGCTCGTACAAAGCGTCCAACTCGCAAAGGGACAAAAAACCACTATTTTTAAACTTAAAAGCTGAATCAGGTATGAATTCGGTCTAGCAAGCTAGAATACCGTGCGCGATTATGGGTACTTCACACTCTTCAAAATAATAATTCAGCGATTTGAAGCCTCAGATCACAAGAAATCAATATTATGAAGACTGAGTTCACGGAGAGCCTCCCTCCCCGGTACAAGGTAAAGCACCGAGCCAATGACCTTGTGTTCACTGGTTTGGAATCCATCAAGATAACGTTTTTCTATACCCAATGGGGAATGTACTCTTGCATAAGTTAATAATTATCTTTAAATAAAAAGACAAACTGGTTACTCAATCAGCCGAACAAAAAAATAAAAAAATCAACATATCAATCAAGTAAATAACAGCGGATTGACAGGGGAGTAGGTTACATGTAGCAGATGATACAACTTTCAACTGAGTTCGCGGAGCTCATTCCAAGGAATGAAGGTTTTCAACCCCCCGTAAGACACGAGCTTCAAATTTAGTACACTGCGCAGGTATCATTCACGAAAAGTCAGTATTGTGAATGTCAAACCTGATAGCACCCTGGTGGATTGTCGACCACAGACTCGAAAGATAGAACTGCTAGCGTTTTTAAAACTCCGCTTCTTGATCAATGTATCGATCTTTGAACAAATGAGACTGGATATATATACGGAGCTGCTAAAACTTGACAGAAATTATTATGAAACATCGAGAGCGTGTAAGGACTTTCCTACAACCGTGCGAGTTGAATGTGTTGTGTTTGTATGATAAGCTTTGGATGCTCGCGTCATTTCATTGTCTGACACACATTTTGACGTGTAGTACCATTGCAGGAATCGAGGATGAGCTTGAAAAAATCAATCCGTGAATTTTAAGCTGAGTATTCAGATCGGAGATTTGTTCTTCTTGTACGCTGATCAACATATAAACCATACTTAAAGCAGAAGCTTCCATCCAATCCACTGACTGCATAGCCTATTGCGTTAGTGCAGTGGTTTGACGAATATTACGTGTACGGCATTAAAATGAAAAGCTGTGTAACGAATGACACCTCCATTAATTTTCGAATTCGTTTTCTCTATATTTGAAAGGTTGAGAAAAACGTATCATATAATCTCTGGAAGATCTCTTTGCTACGCTTCAGAAATCCTACCACAAATATGTAGGGCTATTGGGAGAGACGTCTAAATCTAACGCGTTGCCCTGGCGAACCTTCGGTTCAGCATAGCCACGACTTGCTGACAACAGAATGAGATTGCCTTTCTTCGAATCTGTAACACTGTTGTCCTCAAGTTTTGAAGTGCTTTCTTTCATCTCGTTCTTAACATTTGCGAAATTGAGCCCGTCCTCATTAGCAGAAGTCAGTCCGTGGTCAACTGCCGTATCCGCCAAGCCGGATGCCCCACCAATTGTCGACGTTTGATATGACGTCGCAATCAGAGGACTACCGTTGTCAACCGATACATCGCTATCAGTCTTCGCACTGCTCCAGATGTAGCTGGAAACACTGGAAGTGTGTGTCAACAAAACTGGACTCTGGACCGTATGAATGTTGTGCGGGTCCACACTACTCGGAATTTTAATCAGCAATGGGCGTTTATCCTGGATTAAGTCTTCTTTGCCACTGTCTCTGACCGAGGGAGAGTCTGATAGGTACGTATCCTTTGAAAGGCCATCGGAAAGGAAAGAATCCTTCTCGTATTTACCCCATGACTGATTATCGCCGCCGAAAATACTATCACCAGTCGTTTGAGAACCTCTTTTCACATTCGCGTCGTCAGAGTACCGGTCAGATTCCCACAACATACCAGATGAAGGAGTATAGTCATCACTCGAGGTCTGAGTCTTCCCTAGCATGTCAATCAGACTCTGTATGTCAGCATTGTTGCTTCCACAGTCGTCATCCGCTGAAGGATTTTTTTGGTAACTGTTCTTCGAAGTGTCGAGAGTGGGTCGTTCTTGCCATAGAAAATAATATTTACCAGAATCGCTGTCAAGAGTGCTGGCCTCGTCTCTGTCTAACGTGTTTCCGACCGCGCCAGAAGAACTGTCAACTAGCCAAGACAGTTTGGAAGGGTTTGTACTTAATGCTGGAGCATAGTTTATGGAGTTGATTGAACTTTGCTTGTCGTTATTGGTGCTCCAACCATCATTGAACGAAAAGTCTTCAGGCAACGTGTTCTCGTTACTACCGCAGTCGTCATCCAAAGAAAAGTCAGTTGAGGAAGTTTTCACTGTTCCGGCTTCGTGACGAGTAGGACCGTCAGCAGTCTTCCCCCATGGTACATATCCCCTGCTGAATTTACCGTTCACAGTATTGGCCAACCCTCCGTATGAATCAAAGCCATCAGCCACATTGGAGTCACTATCGGATAGATAAGATAGATCAAAGACGTGCGATTTTTTTACGATGGGATCCTTAGTCTCATTTGTCTTTTCAGACGATCGAAGAACGTCCTTCAGGTCGATTTGGCTGTCATCGACCTTGTCAGCGCTTTGAATCGGATCGTATGAGTCTGCTGCCATCAAATCACTTGGGCGCTCGTCGGACTCCGATGAACGCAAGTAGGTTGAGCTGCCAGCACTCACTGCATTAACAGCAATAGCTGCAAAGATGAGGCCAGAGAAAATCTTCATTCTAGAGCAAACTTTTGGGAGATGTCAACAGAAGTGCCGTAGGCTCTGGAAATTGGAGAATGAACCATTGACAAAAATGCCATAAGTTGTGACCCTCTAGGGAACTTATCGAGCGGGGCTAAGATTGTATCCGGATGTGTATCACATGTTTCAGTTTCAATTGATATGGAACAAACTTCCAAGCTTCAAAACCCATAGTATCAGATGCACGCATGATTTACAACCTCAAACCTTGAGCTCTTTTCAGTGTGGGCTCTGCATCTAATACGTCGGCTGCTTTTGTCAACTGATAATTATTTGGGTTACTAGAGTGAAAAGATTTTTCTGAGCATAAGCTTTCAGATTGATGTTATAACGATATAAAACTCCTTATGTTGAGTTTGTGAGAGATGTGCTGCCAGCTTAGCACACATTGACTGTTTACTAAGCCCAAAACTTGTTACAGCGACGAGGAAAAGCGCTGGATCATCTGATCAACCTGGTCCGCTAGATTCAACGTGGTAGTCTCGACTGCCGGAAGTGAGATCAAATTTTGCAGCTATAGATGTTTTCAGAGCAATAATTTTACACAGATTGATGACTGGCCTTCCACTGTTAGCATATGAACCGTAATGTCATGCGACTGGTATCCATCCAACCCAATTCTAGTGTAACTCAAGATGTATCTAGTGTAACTGAGTAGTTGAGCATATGTTGAGTATTGCCTTTTTTCTCTGCGTTATCTCAACATTTGGCTGCCTCAATTAGAAAATCGCTCTCTTGAAGTTAAGTCAATGTTATAATATTCTCTGAGCACGTGCTTCATAATAACCCGAACAATTACATATAAAGGCAGTTTAGTTTCGCCGTTCTCAAGATTACAGTGTCCTATCAGCGGGAGATTTGCCGAAGCTGTCGGCTGTCGACAGGGTTGCTTAGTTCAACCCATGTGGACAACCTTAGCTTAATGCATCGAAATGAATCGAAATGAAAATATTGCTGCAAAAGAGATACAAAATTCAACAGAAATAGCAATGAGTATTTTTCTTTGTACATTTTTATATCTATAGAGCATCTTATAATATAAGATGCTCTATAAATTGGATCACTTCTTTGTACACGGTACCAATATTTTAAGCAGCAATAATAACTTTCCAAAAGAATATTGTACCTGGTTTACGTCCCCTCGAGCCACTGTGTATGACGACACAATATACATCCGACTTTAATGAGGTACCACCCAGATAGAGGATACGATGTTGCCCTACTCCTTATGCTCAGAGACCTTAAAGCTAAAGTCTTTGATAGACAATTTACACATTATGCGTTCGCGCGCACATGTCAATATAGAGATTTAGCCAGAAGATCTCATAAAGTCAACCAAGGCGCCGTCTGGCAAGTAGCGCACTCATGTAGGGCATAAGACTTTTGGTTCTAGCTTTTGTTGATACTAAGTTGTCGTAAACTTTGCTGCGAAAAAGCTTTGACTCTAAGGATCCGCATTAACAGACGCACTGAGGTTACTTTCGTACGCTCCATCCAGAAGCGGAACCGAGGGCCTCTGTCATATAGTTCTGACATATATATGGTCAATTTAGTATTGATGAATATTGCAGCGAGTGTAACGGGGTTACACGTACCCTGGTAGCACGGGACGTGTCACACGAGATGTGCATGGTGTGACCACACCCAAACAAGAAAAAGGTATGGGGCTAGGTAGCCAGTAGTTATTTATGCATGTATTTAGATTTTACTATGTATAGTATATTTAGGAAAATCTAACCTTTTAAAATAAGGATAAAAAATAAATAAAAGTCACTTTTAAATTTTGAACAGAAGAGCTAATTAGCTTTGGGTAAGGCAATATTTACTCTTGGTGTAAGCGGATTGCGACCCGCTAACTCGTACTTGTTCTAGGTATAGAACGAAAGGTCGGTGACCTTAATTACGCTTCCTCAAGCGCTAAGCTACGGTAGCCCCGCTGCACTGGGTAGCACTTGTAGTTAATCTACACTTGAGTCTCCTCTTTGCCCAGGGAATGCAGGACGGGCTTAAAAAGCTGATGTCCTTGCTTGGCCCTGAGGGCGTGCAACACC